TCAAAGTCACTTTATGCTGTCTCTATCACCACACCCATGCAAAACATCCTTGTTGCATTAGCTTAGCTCCTGTCCACTGAGCTTGTCCTCAGCAGCAGTTGAAGTAAATTGAAAAGGAGATAGATAGTAACTGGAACTTTTAAAAAGCAGCTTGAAAAAGAGAGATGACATGGCATTAAACTGGGACTGTTCCAATCTAACTGGGATAGTTGGAGGATATGCTCCACACCCTCCACCCAAAAAACAATGGGCAGAACTCAGTTTAGGCCAGGGGTCCCCAAATTAAGACCCAGGGGCTGGATTTACCTGGCCCTCACTCAGGGTTGACCTAAGTCTGAAATGACTTGAAAGCACACAACAACAACAATCCTATCTCATCAGCCAAAAGCAGGCCTACACTTCCCATTGAAATACTAATAAGTTTATATTTGTTAAAATTGTTCTTCATTTTAATTATTGTATTGTTTTAATTGTGGTTTTTTGCACTACAAATAAGATATGTGCAGTTTGCATAGAAATTCATTCATGTTGTTTTTTCAAATTATAATCTAGCCCTCCCAACAGTTTGAGGGACTGTGACCTGGCCCTCTGCTTAAAAAGTTTGAGGACTCCTGGTCTAGGCTATAAAATAACAAGTTAAGCAATAGCAGAAACACAATAATCCTATAGTACAAGAAGAATTTCGCACCGCTGCTCTGAATCATGTTGTTTAAAACATCTTCCACGTTTAGCAACTGAATTTATGTGCAGAATTAAAGCAAGAGAAAAAAACTGTGTCTAATAAAGGTAAAGTATCATACTAGTAATCAATAAAAATAAAACATTATTTGTATAAAGTATTTAAAAAATAAGCTGTAAGTCTGGGCCATCAACATGGCTAACGCAGAAACTAGCCACCCACAATGACCTTTCTCTTGCCCATTGCTATTGCTCCCTATTTGGTTAAATTTTCATGGAAAATGCATCCTATATCCGACCAACCAGTTGGGAGCTCATTAGCTTGCTACTTGCTAGCAAGATCTGCTTTCACTGCTGCTAATAAATATATAACGAGACCTGACTACCTGTAGCAAGAAAACATTTTCAAAATTATGCCATCAGAATGCCATCAGACCTTCTGGAATTAAAATACCCACAATGTCATTATTTTTGTCAAAACAATATTTCAGAAAGCATCTACTTTTTAAAAGTGTCTCTTTGAATAGAATTCTTTTGGACATCAATCTGAAATCTTTGGTAGTTTGATTTCAGATCAAACTAGAAAAAAATAGCACCACTGGCCAGCATCTTTAAATGCCAGGTTTTTATTATAAAGTTTAGACAATAAAATTGAAAGTTTTAATCATTCAAATGCATCTCCACTACTTTAAACATAATTTCCATTTGAAGATAATTTCCCCTCCAGCGTCGAGAAAGGCAGAGTAGAAATGAAGTAAATAAATAAATAAATAAATAAAATTAGCTTTCTAGATGCTGGAGCTAAACAATGTCATACATTAATGTATTTTTGAAGGCTTTCATGACCAGAATCACTGGGTTGTTGTGAATTTTCTGGGCTATATGGCCATTTTACTGAAGCATTCTCCCCTGTCGTTTCTCCTGCATCTATGGCAGGCATCCTCATAGGTTGTGAGGTCTATTGGAAACTAGGAAAAGGGGGTTTATATGTCTGTCTATTTGAGATAGGTATGAATGTTTCAATTGTCCACCTTGATTAGCATTTAATGGCATAGCAGTTTCAAGGTCTGGCTTCTTACTGCCTGGGGAATCCACAGTGAGGACATCGATTTCCAGGTGGAAGGTGGTCCCAGCCAGGGTTGGCTTGACACATCTTCCTCTTCACACCTTTCACCCTCCATTCTTGCCTGGATTCCCTCAAGAACCATTTGTAGCAGTGCAATTCATGGAACCCAGTTGGAGAAGGATACAAGATGATGTTATTTACAATTCCGATTACTTGGAATAGAGTGGGAATCATGTGATTGACCTTAGTAAAGAAAGGAAAAGCAGAATGCATGGCTTTGTAAAATCAAAACATAGACTGTTTTTTCAGTCATCCACCCCTCTAGCCTACTGGATTACTAAAGGAGAATGTCTGGGCATGCAAGAACAGGTGAGATACAGATAAGGTGTTACATCTTCATCTGTTTCCTTTTCACCACTCTCTTCTTGGTGATTCACACTGTCAGCAAATGCTATTCTGGACTCAGCTATAGTGCAGTTTTATTTGCCCACATATGGTCCTTTACAGTGTATGGGTGGAATATACAGAAATATCACTTTGAAATTACTTGTTACAAATCAATAGCAGAGGCCAAGCAGAAGTGATCTTGGGATTATTAAAATGATTGAAATAAAGCAGGTTATAACTGGTCAGTACTAAAGGTACTCTGCGGTCTTTCTATAATGAGCTAATATGTTACCTTACAGGGGGAAGATAGTTAGCCAAGGATAGCAATATTCACAAATGAACCTCTTGCATGTTTGGCTCATTCTCAGAAAACCAAGTGAAAATGTTCTGCCATGTAGACAATTTTTCATATGGGTATCTAAAATGTAAAATCAAGTTCCAGTGAATTAGACAAGCTGTGCACCAATTCAGAGACTCTGGTCTATTGTTTCCCAGTGCAAGGTTAGCATCCCTCTTGCGTGGATTGAGAATCCAACAGGAATATCTGATTAAAATAAATGAAGCATTCCCAAAAAATCCAGACTGCTAATGAATCTACAGGAATGCTCCATTAATTTTCAATGCAGCCAAATTCTGAATATGCTAATGTTCTGTTAAAAGCATTTATAAGGGCTATTTTCAGTCTTAATTTTAATGATTCACTGGTTCAAGCTGACTGGCAGCAGTATGGCAGTACCCAGTGTAATTGTTCCTTACTGTAACTAGACTGTGGAGCTGTGTCAGAAGAGGATTGATGGGTCACTGACTGCTGTCTTCCTTCTTCTTCAACATGAGTCAGAATGGCAATTGTATGCTGGGAAATAGGTCTGCATTCTCTGGTGTAAATTTCAGGCATGAAGAATGAATGCTACATGATATATTTTCTTCTGCTGCCCACAGCAAATCCAAGAGTAGTGGATGAGATTGTGAATACCCTTTGGTGAATGCTAGGGTTCTGTACTTAGGGGTCTTTCACAGTAGAATTTTTTGTTTCTTAGTAGTAGGCTTGATGACCATCTGTCAGGAGTGGATAATCTCAGAAGGTGATACTAGGCAACTCCAAACTCTGGGAATTGCCCTGTTCAGTTTCCTCCCTTTCCCCCATGTTTTTAACATATAAAATTGCTGAAGGAGATAATGGGTTTTGGAGTTCAGTCTAACTAATATGCCAATGAAATCCAACTATCTCTTCTTCTCATCTGACACCAAGGAACCTGTCTTGATATTGCATCAATATCTGTTGTTATCAATGGACTAGATGAAGATAAGCAAGTACAGTCCAAAAAAGATAACAGATGCTCCAAGTCAGCTGAAAGGCAGAACAGGGAATAATGATTCCACCTATGTTGGGAGCCCATCCTCCCTGTGAAATCTCAGATTTTCAGTCTAGATGCACCCCTTAGCCTGAACGTCATGTTTCAGTGATGGTCAGGAGTTCATTTGTATAGTTAAGACTACTGTGCTAGCTGCAGTTGTTCCTCAAGAAACCAGAGGTGGTTATGGTAACACATGCCTTAACTACATCCAGTCGGCACTACTACAACATATTCTACATAAGGCTGCCTTTGGAAACTGGTCAGAAACTTCAAAATGCTGACTGGGGTTTGTTTTAAGAATCATAGAACTCCTTTGTTAAAATAGTAGTCACTGGCTTATTTCTCATCATGACCTATCAAGCAAGCCCTGTGTGTCTGAAGTCCAGACTTTTTGAAATACCATATCTTCCCTACACAAGCCTCTTAAAGATTTAAGATCTARAGGGAAAGACTTTCTTTAAATTCCACTATCATTATAGGCTTATTTAATGAGAAATGGGAGAGAGACTTCTCAGTGGCTGCTCCCACCTTCTGGAATTCCCAATTTTGCCCCCCCCCTCCGCTTTTGTCTACCCTCAGATGAAGGCTTTCCCCCCCCCCAAGCAAGCTTTTAATGAGTGGCTGCTTGCAGGCAGCCTTTTTGTGTACAGGTGTGGGCACATAGTTTATTTTAACTTTTGTATGCTTTTTGATTATTTTCTACTTTATTGTTTAATCTAATGTGTATTGTTTTAATAATTGAATTATTCTTAAAATGCGATTGTTCTGGTTTTAGCTGATTATTTTATTTTTATCTTGGGTTGCACTCAAAGAAAAAATGGGCATATACATGAAACAAGCCTCTCTCTCTCTCCCCGCCCCCCCCCCCGATATCCATGTTTTTTATATCCTCAGATTCTACCATTGATGGATTGAAAATGTTTAAAAATATRCCAAACGCAAAACTTGATTATGCCATTTTATATAAGGGACATCATTTTATATAAGGGACACAATTTTTCTACTCTATTGTATATAATGGGACATGAGCTCCTGGAATCAATCCCCAGCAAACACTAAAGGCCCACTGTACTGGTCAATCATTCTCTTCCAATGTTTAACAAGGTTTTCTGGCAGGTAAAACTAGATAGTATTATAATGATGGTGATTATTCCCCCCCCCCCCCACTCCACCTCCAAGGTGAGATCAAGAACTATCTCTGGTAGACAAGGACACATAGATCACATGGAAACAGCCTTTTTCAAAACACATTTTTATGCTTATTATTTTCTTGCTGAAAAACATTTTACTTGTTCTAAACAAAAACAAAGTCTATTTGATTGTCCTATTTTTAAACATCAAGCTCCTGCTTTGATATGCAGTTTCTTGAAGATCTGCGTAGTATTTGGTACATGCTTTCATTGCCCTTCCAGAAGTTATATCATGTACCATCTTCAGAAATACAATTTTTAGTGCTGTTAAATCATGTCCAGTCAGCTTCTATAATGATGCCTATGTTTTGGTACTCATTTCAGATTTCAGAGACCTATGCCTTTCTACCAAGAGAAGCAGTGACACGATTTCTAATGAGTTGTTCAGAATGCCAGAAAAGAATGCATTTAAACCCAGACGGAGCTGATCATAAAGGTAACATTTGTGGCAAATGGTAGAATATGAAGTAATTTCAATCATAATGTCCATTTATATTTTCCTGTTTTAAGTGAAAAGTCATAAAAAGTCCATACACTAAAATGGGCCCACAAGTCACATAATCTAATTTATTGGCCACAATTTACCTCTGGTCTGGTTAAGGTGCTGGTGGTAATGTTTGGAACCCTAAGTGGCTCGAGACCTCAATAATTGAAAGCACCCCCTCCTTAAATATACCTGTCTGAGAACAGGGATACCGCTCTGTGCTCACTAGTGTGGGTAGTACAAAGTGAGAAGAGATTGGAGAGGGCCTTTTCAGCTGTGGTTCTCCATTTGTGCCTCCCCCCCTCCCCCGGAGGCCTGACTAATGCCAAAATTTGTTTCTATCTTGTGACAAGGCAAAAATGACTTTTTAAAATCCTTCTGGGACTAACTTGTTTCAAAGTGTACACATAAATGATTTTAAACTATTCCAGTTTTGGTTTTAAACATTTTGTTTAACCATGCTCTTATTTTGCCTCAGTTATTTATGGTTTTAATCTGGAAGCATTTTAAATTGTTACTACTGTGTGCTGCCCTGTGATCATCCAATAAAGGATGGGATGGGATTTTAAAAATCATACAAATCAGATTGTAGTGGGTAAGGATGCCCAGGAGTAACTTATGCCCCAATGCAACATCTAGAGCCAGTGTAGACAAGCCCTCACTCTTGTTTTTCAGCCAGAAGGTAGATACTGAGCAGAATTGAATGTGAGCCCACAAGAACTGGAAGGAATCTGGCAATATTAGTGTGTATTCCACATTATTGTTAATATCATATTTCTCCAGATTTTCCCTAAGCCAAACAGTTTCCTTTTTTTTTCCTTTTATAAGCACACTTAAAGAAGAAACCATCTGTATGTATTTGCTTGCGTGTGTCACTGTAGTATGGTGGAGCATCTTTCAAATCTCAAATCTAGTAGATTAGGGTAGCTTAAAGTACAGGGGAACCATGCATTGAGTGCAAACCAAACAGATTTTTATTAGCCTGTGTGTCTAAGAATACTTTTTCTTCTGATTACATGTATGTACATGTGCATGCTTAAACCTGTCCATACTACAACTATGAGCTGAATTCTAAGCAAAGTTAATTTTAAAGGTAAGAGTTCAGATTAATGTCAAGAAAACCTGGAAGAGTTCTTAAAAATGAGAAATTTTCTGAAACGCATACCCCCATCCTTCACACAAAGTATATAATGTTTATATCTTACACTATATCCCAAGATTCCAAGGCAGTGTATTTAGCATCACATACCGTAACTACAGTACAGAGTCTAATACATATAGCTTTGTTGAAATTAATCTGGTTTTGGCTGGCTCTCATATAGGTAGCTTCCTGGGAACACTGTGTCACCTATCTTGAGTTCTAAGTAGAAAATAAATATAAATGAATGAGAAAATCCACTTACAAAGTGCTTATAGATTTTTTTTTTCAAAGTGCCCTATGGAGTCTACACTGTAGCTGCACCTCATTTGTGGATTTTCCCTCACTCCCCAGGAATGGCTTTATCCTTGTTAGGCTTTCAGAGGGCAGTCAAAACTTTTTCCCTCAAGATTTTTTAGTCTTTAATCCTACTGTATTCTTGGGTTCTGAATGCATGTTCTTCAAAAATGTTGATTATTTTTTTAAAGTTTGTCAATTTTTATAGATTTTTAAAAAATCTCTTGTGTTTTTCATCTGTAGCTCTTGTAGGATGAGAGGCATAAAAAACAAAAGATATTGTAATCTGTTTTCCTAATGCAACACTCTGTAAGTCTCCTCCTCACATACCACAGCTCACCACATTCAGTAGAGTCTCCCAATCTTCTCTGTAGAATGTTTGGGTATCCTTAGATGAAGCTGTGGGAATTGCTGTCTGGGATGCAGAGGGGAAAGTCTGTTTTTACAAGCCTGTGTAAATGCACCTAATTCTGGTGTAAACTCTATTATTTTGGACCACATTTAATATATATTTATCTTTACAGATAATGGAAAACCTCCAACTTTGGTGACCAGCATGATTGATTACAATATGCCAATTACAATGGCCTACATGAAGCACATGAAACTACAGCTATTGCACTCCCAACAAGATGAGGTGAATATAGAGACTGATTCACAGAAATCTGGCACTTGACTTGCTGAGTAACCAAGTTGCGGTTCGGGATCAGGTGGAGATGCCATGCCATGTGGCTGCTTGTGATGTGTCCACCCAGTGGGTTTGTAGCTGCGTGTTACATGCCCATTGGTTGGCTGAGTGCCCACACCCAGCCAGTGTGGCCTGGATATTGTTCCACTCTGGCCAGGTGACTGAGTACATAAGGGAGCAATGGACTGAATCATTGAATATTATATCATATTTTGAAGAAGAACATCATAGAGTGAGAGTACCAGATGAGACTTGATCAGGAATGTGAGGTTGGCAGGATGGCAGAACCATTCTCCTGCCCTCCCATTTGTATCTTGAAGGATTTCATCACTGGGAGTGGTTCCCAAGAAAGCCCTAAAGAATTCAGGCTTCATTATCACCTTTTGTAGGCATAACAGTAAATGATGACATCCCATAGAAATTCTGTTCTTTGACCAAGCAGTACATTTCGTATGGGCAAAATGTGATATAAAATCTACCTTTAGACTCCTGCTGGTGCACCCCAAGGACTTCTATCCACTAAGCTTAAGGTTCAAGAAATTATGAGATTAGAATAGACTCATGTTTATACAGAGTTCTGTAAATTGTGCGTGATCTGAGGCTTTCAACATGTTCATAGAATAAACAATAAAAAATACAGTAAGGGCACTGTTAATCACATTTCTGATTTCTTTCTTTTTTTTTTTTTAAAAAAGAATTCATGGAAATCAGCATTCATGGAAATCAGTAGATATTCATGCACATATTTTAAATGCAACTTGTTATACACCACTAATTTGTGTTTGACTCTCATCATCTTTTGCTTTTTGTTTTAATTCAGGATGGAGATGAATTTACAGTCTAATCTGAAGTTTCTGAATCAACATTTGGTTCAAAACACAGTTCTCTGGAAATCATGTTGTAAATTCTTCTCCAGCGAAAAGTTACGAGAATCAATCACAAATCTCTGGTGTATAATATGTTTTGGGTCTTTTAATGTGAAGAAAGAGAGAGGAAAAAAGAAGGGAGTTTAATTTCGCAATTCCTTCCTTCAGTGGCTAGTATGATAGCCTTAACTAAGGAATTATGGCATACTTAAAATATAAAAGTTATAGCCTTTTATATCCACGACCTTTTATAGTAACTTTAATTTTGACTACATGAATGTTGGGGAAATTGACAGAGAAACCCAAGTAAGTGGTGATTACATTTTGAAGTATACCTTTATGTATACCAGAATTTTCTATATATATCATAGAACTGGCATGCTCAAGTGTTAAAGCAAAACCATTTTATTCACATCATTAGTTGTCTACATACTAAAGATGTGGCAAGAAGGATGAGAGTGATCATTTAAAAGGAATTAAGTTGTGTACCCCAGCCCACAGCTCACAAAAGCACTTTGATATAATTTTAAAAGGATTCCAGCCAAACAAGGCACTTCAGCCAAGCTTCACAAGTGAATCATTGCTTAGATTTATGGGAAAACCCTTGAGTCTGGTTCATGCAAGTGGGATTTCAGAATATGCATAAAACTAAGCATGTTTAATAGCTTTTCTGAGTGTGGGTGTTCTAAGTGGGATTAGTAAGATGAATGCAAAGAACAGTCTATCTAATTATCAGAGAATTAAGGGAGACCTGATCTATAATTTTCCTCTTTTCCATATTTTTTAAACCTGAATTTTCAGTGGTATAGCTAGTGGAGGTGAAAGCATCCAATCATATGATATCTAGATGGAGTCTAAGAAATCATGTAATATATTATAGCTATTACAATCATTTTAAGCCATGAGAAGTTTATATATGTTTTCAAGGTGGTAGATAAAAAGCCAGTGTTGTCTTGTTGAAAGGCTTACGCTGCAATCCTATATCCTCTTATTTTGGAGCAAGCCCTTTGGAAATGAGTGCAATTACATTGGAAATGAAGGAAGCATCTTGCAGTACACAAAATATGAAAGAAGAAGAAACCTTAAGGGAGGCAGGCCTAAAAGCAGCCCAGTGAGGACTGTGCATGGGCAGCCCCAAAACGTCTTAATCTTTGGTGTGTCTTCATGTGGTTAAAACTGGGCCCTGCAACAAAATATTGTCATGTTGAGTGACCCCAGTAACAGTTTCAGTCAGTCATGGACCTCTCCAGTTTATCTCGCTTCACTCCCTTCCTCTTCTTTCTCATTGTCTACCACAATTTCAGCATTGTGTGTTGGGTAGGTTTTGTGGTCCCTCTTTTTAAGAGTTTTATTGTTTTTCTTAAAGTGTTTTATATCTCTGAAAACCAGGGAATGTTGCTCTATGAGTTGAGCTGGAGAATTTAACATATTTTTAATTGCATTTAATTGGCTGCTCCCCCCCCCCCGCCAAAAAAGAAAAGAAAAAAGAAACCTGGAGAATTTGTGTACTTATCTCCCAACTGGAGATGATCCACAAAAACTGGAGATTGGAGATCCAGTTTCTAAGATATGTCAACTTTGAGAAAAAATGTTGCAGTTAAAAGAGTTTAGCTGATTACAAGTTGAATTTATATTTTGTAGAGGTTTGATCTTAGCTCATTATCAGCATAGAAGTTCTTAATTGGAAAAATAAAAGGTAAAGGCTTCCCTTTAACATTAAGTCTAGTCGTGTCCAACTATGAGTGGTGGTGCTTATCTCCATTTCTAAGCTGAAGAGCCGGCATTGTCCGTAGATGCCTCAAAGGTCATGTGGCCAACATGACTGCATGGAGCACCGTTACCTTCCTGCAGAAGCAGTACCTATTGATCAACTCACATTTGTATATTTTTGAACTACTAGCTTGGCAGAAGGTGGGGCTAACTGTGGAAGCTCACCCTGTTCCCTGGATTTGAAATGCTGACCTTTTGGTCTACAAGTTTGGCGGCTCAGTGGTTTAACCCACTATGCCAACAGGGGCTCCAATATGTTCCTAAACTTCCCATTTATGGCCCACTTCATCTTGATAACAGTATTGCCTGCCAACCCCTGAAATAATGAGACTAGACAACCATTTTCTTGGGTTCAGATTGGGCAACTTTATTAAAGGTTACCTATTTAACTTTTAACTAATCTAACTTAGGTGTTTCTTTGAACTTGGTGTGGCAAAGCCAAGGTGGTGTCCATCTCTGGACCACTCACCCCAACCACTTGGGCAAAAGCACTTGGGTTCTCTGGTAACTTAAAACTGGGCAACCCCTAAGGAAAATATTCAGAGAAGTCTCCCTCAAAGATATGGAGGCCAGACTCCTGAAATTTAAGGTCGATGCTTTTTCACCTCACCCTGTCCAAACGATTGACAGGTGAATGTTTTAGTTGCTGGCCTTCACCCCTGAGAGGGGTGCCTTGGGTGTATGCTGACTTTCAGATTTTTCCTATCTAATTACGCTAAGCCTATTTAAAAATCATACTATCCTAGCTACCCCCTAAAACAGTATAGGGTAGGTGAAAAAACCTTCCTAGAACATAGGAAAGGGAAAAATTCCTACCTGGCCCCAAATGACAACCAATAATTATACTGTTAATGGGGTGGGTTGCTGAGCAGGAACTGAATGAGACAGAAGGAGGCCAGTCTAGGTATTAGCCTGGCTCTGCCCCCTTCTGGATGGTTCCATGGAACCAACCAAGTCCAGTCCCGGGGAGGAGGCAAACTTCTCTCACCCCCCCCCCCCCCCCCAGCTGCACCGGGGTTGGAAAAATTGCTTATGTTTTTTTTTAAAAATTCCTGGAGAAACAGAATTTCCAGGGAAGCACTGATGATTTTTAAAATGTATAGAATACTTTACCAAGAATGAAAAAAGTTATTTTAAACAATGCCGTAAGACTAATTTTTCTAACTATTCTATATATTTTTTTTAAAAAAAAATAGAGTGGCAAATCTACTATGGTTAGTTTAGCTAAGTTGAACTATTTTATTCCATATTTTATCAGTAGTTATGGTACATCAGTTACTCATGGAAATTCTACTTGCATTCGCTTAAAATCTTATTTCCATAGAATCTCTAATCCTGGGTTCATTTACACACATCAGTTGAATTTAAGTGCATGTCACCGGTTACAATATCCAGTTATTTACTCTTGTAAGATCTCTTAGTCTAATTATAAAGAATCAAAGTATTTGAGGTTGTCTGTCCTGTGCTGAACAGCATTTAGTAATTGCCTGGTAAGCTCTAATCTACCATGAATGCTATGCCTGGAAAATTATCTTGACATTTCTTAATATGCTTGTGAAATAGAATTCTATATTTTCAGGATGAAAGCTCCATAGAAAGTGATGAATTTGATCTGAGTGATTCCACCAGGATGTCTGCTGTAAACTCTGACCTCAGTTCCAATCTGGAAGAAAGAATTCAAAGTCCACAGAATCTTCAGGGCCAGCAAGATGGTAAGCTTAGTGTTTAGCAAATGAAGCTGAGTGTCCTTGATTGCCTACTTCTTTATTAATTTTCAAAGGTGTGTGATTTGTACAATAAAATTGCTATACTATAGCTACTACTAAATGAATTAGTAGTAGCTATAGTATTTAATTGAAAAGTATAATTAAATATATAAGGTTAGATAGCTGCCCAAGGTAGTGTGTGTGTGAGGATTAAAAATGAAAAAGGAGTCTAGAAAAGGAAGTGAAAATATTTCAACTAGTTTTCATACAGTAATTTGCTTGTGAATGATCGACAGGGCACTACATATGTGGCAAATTGTATGCCAGATTGGCTGGTTTATCTTCCTTCGAGGCTATTATCCAGGGACATATCCAGTTAATAATAATAATAACAGTAATAACAATAACAATAATAATAATATCCCATTTTTTTCCCTAATGGGACCCAAAATCGCTCACTACACAATACAGTACAAATTAAAGCACATTTAACATAAAATACAAGACAAAGATCACACAACGCATAATAATGTCCAGAAATGAGATATAAAAATATTAAGCATTAAAAACATTTAACACCAATTACAATGATTGTGGAGACTCAGCAATTAAATAGTATATTTTGCACAAGTCCAGGAGGACTCCCAAACTGCGGACCTGTGATTTCAGAGGTAGTGTTACCTCATCCAGCAGAGGTTGCCACCCTATACCCTGATTTGCCTCACGGAGGACCACAAGGACCTCTTGTCTGGATTTTATTTCAATTTGTTTGTCTTTGTCCAGTTCAGCTGACAGGCACCGGTTCAGGGTCTGGGCTGCTTTCTTGGCTTCTGGTGGAAATGAGTAATAGAGTTGGATGTCATCTGCATACAGGTGACACTAAACTCCAAAACTCCAGATGATTTCTCCCAGCAGCTTCATGTAGATGTTAAAGAACATGGGGGAAAGTACCGACCGAGCCCTGCAGTACCCCATAGGACAATGGCCATGGGGTCGAGCAAGCATCCCCAATACCACATTCTGGTTCCATCCTTCCAGGAAGGACTGGAGCCACTATAAAACAGTGCCACAGAGTCCCATCCCAGTCAGACAACCCAGAAGGATATGATGGTTGATGATATCAAAGGCCACTGAGAAGTTCAGGAGAACCAACAGGGATGCACTCCTCCTGTCTGGTTCCCTGCATAGATCATCCACCAAGGCGACCAAAGCCATCTCAGTCCCATAGCTGGGCCTAAAACCAGACAGAAATGAATCTAGATAATCCATTTCAGCCAGGAATCCCTGGAGTTGCGATGCCACCACATACTCCAGAACCTTGCCCAGGAAGGGGAGGTTAGAAACTGGTCATTAATTACCCATTATGGACGGGTCCAATGGTGATTTCTTTAATAACAGTCTTACTACAGCCATTTTCAGGCTGGATGGAAATTTGCCTTGGTTGAGGGAAGCATTTGCCTCCCTCATCACCTAGTCAACGAACCCTCCTCTGGTTTGTTTAACTAGGAAGGGCAAGGATCTAGAATACATGTGGTGGGTCTTGCTTCTCTAAGGATCCTGTCTACATCCTCAGATTGCACCAACTGAAAAGAATTCATTAAAGCTCGACAAGCAGACACCTGAGTTACATCCGCAGCAACTGTATCAATAGAGACGTCTAGGCCGAAATGGATCTGAGCTACTTTATCTGCAAAGAACCTTGCAAATTATTCACAGTGAGTCGCTGAGTGGCCAGAGGACTCCACCTGAGAATCAAGGAGCCCCCTTACCACCCGGAACAGCTCCGCTAGTCAATTCCTTGCACATGCAATGTTGGCTGCTGTAAAAGATTTCTCAGCTACCTTCATTGCCATGGAGTAGCGCTTCCAATACACTATACTCTGTGTTCGGTCAGATTGAGTGAGAGTTCAGTGTGAACATCGCTCTAGTCTCCTACACATTGGCTTCATCACTGCCAGCTCTGCATTATACCATGGAGCTAATCTGGCTCCATGGAGCAAGTATGTCTACTGCCCTGGCTATCTCTGTATTCCAGAGATCTGCCAGGGCCTTCCATAGTGGCAGGAAAATCCCCAAGAGCTGTCAGGAATCCATCTGGATCCATAAGCCTCCTGGGGCAAACCATTTTCATTGCCCCCCACCCCTGCAGAGGTTCAGAGCCTCAGTTAATCTAAACCTGATCAGATAATGGTCAGTCCATGACAACGGAATTGTTGATAGTTCCTCCACTACACCACCATTTTCATCACATTCTGTGCAGAAGACCAAGTCCAGTGTGTATCCAGCAGCATGGGTGGGGCCAGATATGACCTGGGACAGCCCCATTGTTGTTATGGCAGCCATGAAGTCCTGAGCCACGCTCGACAGGCTAGTCTCGGCGTGGATGTTGAAGTCCCCCAGTACCATCGCAGGGTTTGATAAGGTTCAGCTAGTTTGTCTGGATTACGAAGCCATTAATCTGCCTCCGCGGCTGCGTAGAAGTCAGGCTGGAATAGGCTGGAACAGACCAGTTTATAAAGGCCACAATAGCTGCACCAATAGCTCCACCAAAGGGATCCTCTGATCCCTAGAATGTAGGATGGTGTGATCTTCTGGGGGTGGGGTGGGGCGTGTTGCAGGGTAATGGATTAATGCAACTTCACGCCTGGCCCTTAGTGTAGGTCCTCTTACTGTGAGAACATAAATAGGATTCACTGTTGAAAACAATAAAACATTGGACCTGTGTAACTAGTAGATGAAGGTATAATTCATTTGCTCATGGAAGTGTAGTCTGATAAGACTACTGGTTAGCTAGCTGCCCAAGGTAGTATTCGTGTAAGGATTAAAAATGAAAAAAGGAGTCTAGAAAAGTGCCTGCTGGAGATCTGTTTGTACTGATAATTTTTCAGGCATAGCATTCATGGTAGATGATTGTCCAATGCCACGGGATCCAACCTATGAAATTTTGCAGTCTCCACTGCTACAAAGCAGCCTTTATCGAAGATCGGACTCCCAATATACCCATTCCTGGAATCTCATCCTTAGTCTTTGACTGCCCTCCTTGCAGCTTCCTGCCCTGCCGCCCTAAACTAATTCATTCTGATAGACTCCTCAAGCAGCATTCCAGTTTAGCAGCTGGGGCTCAGCTTCTGTTCTCCTTGTTGTTCCTCAGGGGGTTTCAGCTTATGATATTAGTATGTCAGAGCCACCAGTGCTGCCTCAAAGTAAATCTAAATGGAGAGTCTGTAAAAAATTCCTGCTCTGAAAACAGTTATTTTCTGATTATTGCCCCTTTAAATGGAAGGCTATTAGATACACTATATAAATATTTTTGTTAACTTAGTCTGCAAACCTAGATGCATGCACTTGGGAGTAAGCCCTCCTGATCTCACTGAGACTTATCTCTAAGCACACATGTATTAAATTCATATTCTAACTGTGCTTTCTAAAGACAAACCCCAGAAAGGACTCATTCCTGAAGATAATTTTTTTGAGTTGATTAAGATTAAGAAACAGAATCTGGCCATGTTTACAAAAAATGCACATCTCTTCCTTGGGGTGCAGAGAGTTCTTGCTGACTCATCTAGTTTATGACCTACTTCTTTTCTGATTCCTTGTTAGAGCAGGTGCAGCTTATTGACTTCTCAAAACCTACAAAAGAAGCTGGGGTGACTTTTTAATTTAGGCTTATTTTGATTTGAGAAAAATATTCAGGCAAAGGATCCCATTAGTATCTGAACTGCAAAGAAAGCTAAACTGAAAAGGAATCAAATATGAATACTGTTGAAATCAATAATTGCATGAATCTTATATTTGAAAGTAAATCAAATTAAATCAAAAGATAATGGTGATACTTACTTCTTATAAAGCCTTACCAATACCTGTGTCTATGAATATGATCCTGAAATCTAATTCTAAAGTAATGCAACTAAAAGCAAGACTGCACATATTATTATTATTATTATTATTATTATTATTATTATTGACACAAAAGCACAGTATGTCACAGCAAACGAGATCGATATGCTGGATTTCGTATCACAAAATCACAAGTCGAACACTTCCCAAGCGTCTAGGACTGTGTGATGTATTTTCGAATGATGCGCGCAGATCCAAGTAAGATGGCCTTTTGCAGTTGACAGATCGTGATTTTGTCGATGTTTATTGTTTCCAAATGCCGGCTGAGATCTTTTGGCATGGTTCCCAGTGCACCAATGACTACTGGGACCACCTGTACTGTTTTATGCCAGAGCCTTTGCCTTATTATTATTATTATTATTATTATTATTATTATTATTATTTCATTTTGCTTTTTTCCCATGGGTGAGATTCAAAGTGGTGTACAATGGTTTAAAAAACAGGAATACATAAAATACACATTGAAAGCCAATTAACATCAAAGCTAATTAAAACAAATAACCCTATTTGCCTATACAATATACAACAAATTAATAACTTACAACATACCATTAAAAATTCCCTAACCTCAGGCCATTGAGGTTATGCATAAAACAGGTTATACAAGATCCTAAGAAATTCCATTTTCATTTAGCTGTGTCGCAATTGCCAGATCTAATATAGCATTCAAAAGTAAATATTACCAGCAGCTATCTGGCAGGTGCCTATTTTAATTCACATATAAGCCAAAAATCGCTTTTTAAGAATTAAGAATCAAGTAATATCACACTCAAATAACACTTCTGTTGATAGCAAAGCCAGACTTTCAGAATCTAAAGTGGATATTTAGGCTACTATTCCTCTTCACAACCCTAATGAAAATATGTGGACTAGACACAATATAATGTAGAAAATGAAACTCCCTTGGCTGAGGTGAGCTAGTAGATTAATATGGAGAAATCCCACAATTCTATTGTACAATGGCAGCTCTGGGGATAAAAAGATCTTCTCTGCCTGCAAGATTTTCAGTCTGTCACCTTTTACAAGCACTGAATTCATTTGTCAATACAGAGAAAAAAGAAATGGAACATTTACATCTACGTGTTTCAGAATAAGCCTCAGGGCTGAGC